TTACTTTGTTGTTACAGTAATGCGTACATATCAATATCAATATGCATTTGTAAGCTTTGCACGCAAAGACCCAAAAGCTATGGTCGATGGTTTGTCCTGGACACCGTACCGCTGATGGATTCTGCAATATTCGGAATCTGGTCGTGGGATATGAGGGGTAAAGAGGTTGAGGAAGCCATAGAAAGGGATTTACTAAACTTTGACATGGACGTCGTGACTCTTGCTGCAGAGTCTTGCCAAAAGGGGTTCTGTCACTTCTAGTGGTAGGAATCTCCTATCAGCTCCTCCAATCATTCTCGCACGGTTCATGGGCCATATCCATGTGGTCAATCACATTCTATTCCCCTGCAGTGGTACAAACCTTCGAGGACCAAACACCACACTACTTGTATCCTGCACCGTATACCATACCGGACTCGGACAAGACGAAGGAAGGATAAACTCCACTTCACCGGAAATGGCCCACCTTCTACTCTGGCATCAACCCCTAAGGTAGGGAAGAAAGACTCCGAAAGAGACCCAAGAGACCCAAAGAGACCCAAAGAGGGATGTTGAATTCTTTTCCATCAAATATGATCGCCGACAATAGTCGATAGTGAAAACAACGATGGAAAGAGAATCGGAATCATCGGACTGTCATAAAACCTATTAAAAATCATACAGGTAAGATCTACAGGACAGATGGATATGAGATAGAAAAACTTCATGCAAAATATGTTGGTAAGCAGGTTCTTCCGGGAGGACCAAAGAATCAGAAGTTCAGAACAAGGCATAGAAGAGAGGAGAAAGCCTCTACATTCAGGTTTCATTCATTCAGGTTCAATTTATGCAATAAACTCCAAATATTATCTATATGTAATACTGTAATACTGTAATACTGGGTAATAAGCCTCCACTACCGGTTTCAAGACAAACCTTACCTGGGTATTATCAGTACAGTTTCGTCCTCGGTACGTGGAAATTTATTATTGTTGTTCAATACCTATCGTCAGCTACCCAACTTTCAATCCTCAGTAGGCCTCACCTGCAATTCTAGAAAGAGTATATCTACGCCACCATGCATGGCTGGCACACCCTCTTACTAAACTTGGAAGAGACTCAAAAGATGGATATCATATGTAGCTGGAGGTACAAGGACTATCTTATCTTTTTTATATTTCCTTATGCATTTTCGACCAGTTAACCATCCATCCATACATGCATGCTAGGTCCGATTCAATAAATCTCACAAATCTCACAAATCATAACAAAATCATATCAAATCATATCCAAGCCCTTCACTTCTTTTTTTCCTTTCAGCTGAAGATTTTTATATATATCATTTAATAGTAACGTCAAGCTATTCCTAAATGGTTGAAATAAGGAAGATACACAATCTACCTGAAATACCAGATGACCCATAAACCCAGCTCGGCGCATCCACTCGTCAACTAGTAATTCATAGCTCAAAACAAAAATACTCAATTGAAGCTCCATACTTATTAACATACTCTACCCTTTGCCCAGGTGTTTAACGTACTCCGTACCAATTCGATTTTAATGTCGAATCTCTCTGCCACCTTATTAGTGTCCTAGTTTACTTGAAGCAACTTCCGAATTGGACGTTTCATCACCTGGTCTTTCCCATTTGGTTTTCTACCTTTTCCATCCTATACACAACTTCTCTTCCAACCAAACTTCTAGTATTATAAAACATTTCAACCTTTTTCACATCGATTCTTTCCATCAACAATTAAATCTTGGTTCTTATCTGCGCAACCCTCTTCATCGTTAACCACGGACATACCTCTTGACCTCGCCAAGTCTTGTCACCGCGGCTCCACAGTTTCAAAAAGCTCGCCTCTAAAATTCATTGAAGGAGAGACTTTGGTTTGCAAAACGCCATAATAAACATCAAAGGATTCGTATTGGACGAACGTCTAGGTCGCAGGTCCAAAAATACACTTCGGACGTATTGTAGTATCAGAGAAACTTTCAATCCGGCTTCTCTACGATCTCTCCGCAAATTCAAAGATCCCCAATGATGCACCGCTCAATAAGCCGTTGAAGTTCCTACAAAACTCTAATTTATCTAACTCGCTTTGTTCTTCTCCAACCCTTCCGGAACCATGGACACCACTCTAATCACTTTCATGTTGTAAGTATAATTCGTTTTTGTTTCCTCCTGGAACTCAAATTCAGTATCATCCACGTGTTTTTTGCATGCGCATTGATCATCCCTTGATACATCATGGGAGTGAGGGAAAGTTTGTTTCTTGAAAGCCGTTCACTGCCTTGGGTCCATGCATTAGTTGAAATATAGTTGGTAAAGTTTACCGGCTAGGTCTGGTCTTCATGCCCAACGGAGCCCTCGGAGAAGATAGTCTGTTTCGACTTGAAGCATGGTGGACATCTTTCTCCTCGCGACTATAGAAGAACATTCTATTGTAGAACCATCTGTCACTAGATGAACTTTCGCCACAAGCTTGGTATGACGCCTGTTGTGCAGATGCTTGGGCATTTCTAGTGACGTAAGTTGTCTTCGAAACTCGACATGCGGGATGTTGCTCTAGTCGATCTTTGTTGCTGTCCTTGCTTTGCCAAGATACGAGATGGACTTTGGCAAAGTCTATCGAAAATCTCTTTCAAACCGTGTCTGACTATGAACATAAATGACCATCCTGCCCTCAACGACTGGAACATATTCTTCTGTCCGAATAATCAAGCCATAATAACTAATTTGACGCTCTATCTAGTCAAGCAACACCTAGAACACAATCAGTCCATCTCATCGGATCTTGGGATAATTTTACCAAACGATATCCAATGGAGCGAGATTCAAGACGCTCTCGTGAGCAATGGCGAGGTTGTCACACATTTGACGATATCATCTGTGAAGGCGATGGAAATGGTTCCTTGAAAAGGAACGGTGGTTTGAAAATGGCATCAACATACTATTACTATGTATGTTAACATCCCAAACACTGAAAGAAAAATACTTACAATTTCAGTATGAGCTTGATGACGGCATTGAAGTTCATGATACGGCTATACCTTCCACTACTACTTGTCCTTACATGCCAGGTCAACCAGTCAATATCCTCTGGGTACCAGTCGAAGTCTCACCACCACGACTTCGAAGTGGTTCCGTGGATTCCATAACTATTACAGAAGCCAAAACAATGAATCCTGCCGATAAATTTATGACTCCTCGTGCTCCTCCATCGAAGCCAAATGTTGCACGATCTGCTTCATTACCGTCTTCAAGCGCGGAGGTTACGGAAAAGCCATGTCCTTGGGCAAAAGACAGAAAGCTTGGTTGGGCAACAAAACTTTTTTCGGGCCGTCGATCACGACCTTCATCGCCTACTCCATCACTTTCTTCAAGGCGATCATCTGAGCCCGATATCAGTCGAGCTACTACACGAAGTAGTTCTTCATCAAACTCAAACACTATTCATCAAACTAGCCCGACTCGATTCGAACCAATTTCTAGAAAACCGTCTTTTACCAGAGTGCACGATTCTGTGCACAACAGTCTTATGTCTCTTGGTATACCTGAGGAAATTTCCGAAGACGAGGAAGATGATGACAACTTTGCCACACAATTTAAAGAACTTGTCTTTGAAGACAACGACAGTATCACCAGATTATCACCAGCGCCATTTCGTCGGCAACCATCACCAACTTCCAATACTTACAAGCCACTGCCACAACTTCCAGATGATGCTTTTACATCTCCAAGTTCATTACCTCTTCCTCCAAACCTTACTCTGAATTTACCAATGTCCCACTTCTCCGTCTCCACCGCATCAACGGCTCTTACTTCACCGACAGATTCCCATTTCGGCTTCAGCGATACATCATCAATGTTCGATTCATATGATGAAAGCGATATGAATGAAGAAACGGGCGATACTTTTACATATAACCCGATGATCTCAGAGGTGGAAAAAAGAAAATTTATAGGGTATAGCTTACCGGATGAAGATATCGCTTCGGAACAGACTATTCGCAAGGCTTCAAATCCAATATCAAAGACAAATAGTAATGATTCTTATCCTCACGATTCGGGGTTCGCAGACGGAATTCAAGAAAGCAACACGAAAATAGGGGGAAGTGTGTTAGCGGATTTCTTGGAGGATATGGGCTATTTGGGCGAAACTATCCGTGATAAATGAAGGGTGCGAGAAAGAGATGGGAGATAATGTGTATGAGTATTAGGTTGTATGTATATATATGATGGGGACGACTGGATGATATCTTGGCATTTTGGGCGGTGCTACATTTTGCAGTTTAGCGGGGAGTTTTGGGAAATTGCCTGGGCATATGCATAAGATATGGACATGTTTAAAGAAAGGACGTGTGGAAGGGTGAAAGGAATAGCAAATATTGCAAAGCTGGTCTTATATGCATATATCAAAAGATGAATGGAAATGGACTTGAGAAATGATTGAGGGGGATAATAGATGAGATAAATTAGTAGGATTGTGATACTCGAGTATATATCAAACTATTAATGAGATACTTATAAACTCACACAAGTTATATGAAGGAGTGACAAGTTGTATGAATGAATGACGGAAGGAAATATAACAGATTGCATTGCGAACAAGTGGCAACATAAAAGAGACAAACGGAGAATTCAATATCACGTGAACTGATCTCGTACCCCCATAGATCTTAGCTTCACCTCGGTCTTTTTACTGGCCGAAGTTTGTTACCCGTTATATACTCGACCAATCATCAATACGACAACGTTGAAAACCTTGCATTTGCATTCATGTCGTATGAAGTCTGATATGCGGAGATGCGGGGAAATGACGCTTGTTGGTTTGTACGGGGTGGCACACGTTGGATGGTATGAGCTGGTGAAGATTGGATGCTTGGCTCGAGATGGATGTTCGATGTTTCTTCTCATTGGGCATTTCTGTTGATATGGTCAAACTTTTTGCTCGAGTCAAATTGAGGTACCTGGCAGACGGAAGATAGATATCGACAGCAAAAAATATCGAAATGCTATGGATTCTCAATTGAGGGAAGTTGGCCGGGCTCCAGGTGATTCTCAAGGGAACGGCAATGACATCGGATCCTTGGAGATTGAACTCAGTATGTGATTCATTAAACGCTCTGTACTTACATATAATGTACGTACGTGAATGTGTAGAGTTGGACTGATGGTACAATAGATGGCAGTGAAGATACGCAACAAGGAAACTTTGCGAGGATCGCAAGGTTGAGATGCACGAGTTGCGAACAGACATTTGGGAGAGTGGAACATTTGACGAGACATGAGAAGAGTTATAGAAAAGAGGGATGGCTGAGATGTGAAGCTAGGGAGTGTAAGAAGAGTTTTTATCAGATGTGAGTTTGGGAAATTCCGTCGAAAGATCTTGTATCAATGGATGTGCAAAGATAGTTGCTGATACTCAAAGTGATGCTCTGCGTCGACATGAATTGGTTCATAAGAAATCAAACCGAAATTTGCTGGGAAGAGGGGCGAGAGCTTGTTCGGCCTGTGCAATAGCGAGAAGAAGATGTAGTGGTGAAAATCCTTGCAAAGCTTGCGCGAAAAGATCAATTGGGTGTACCTTTCCTTCATCCTCTGGTGCCATGGTCAACGAAAGACGTCGAGAATCCATTGGGTTATACGAGAAAATTTCAAATCAAAGGGTTTGGGTTGAAAATGGTCGAACTGGGGAAGGAATCACGAGTCTACAATCTCCAATTTCGTGGTCACATGCTGATTCACCGCTCAATCCGCAAATGAAACCTAGATCTTCGATTGACCATTATCGTTCAGAGTTTGGGTTGGAGAATCTGGATGTTGCTGGTCAACAGATGAATATCCAAATTTTGGGTTCTGGTATCCATCAATCATTCAGTCAATTTTCTCCGCCAAAGAATTCAACAGGAAATCAGATGTCCGAAGATGCTCGCATAAACTCGACCACATCTCGAAATTATCAATCTACTTCATCTTCAATGTTACCCCTTCATCCAATCATAGATCTTGATGAAGCTGCCAACTTGTTATTGATTGGAACGGGTCAGGCTTCACATCAGCTACATATCCAAGATAAAGGTATTTCTGAAAGTTTGCCAGAAAGCGCTAGTTCTTGGGCCCAATATAATGTATCCTCTATCAACTGGTTGCCTTACGATTGGGCTCCTGACTATCAACTAGATGATGATACAGTGAAAATGATTGATTATAGGACAGATCTGATTGGCTCATCGCCTATTACCGTCCCAGGAGAAACTATCCGAAGGCCTGCGTATTCTGCAAACACGGCTATTTTTGCGCCCGTCCCCGCAAACCCAAGCGCAAATGCATATAAATAATTCTCCTAATCCAACAATATCCAGTGAAGGTGCTTCAACAAGTCCTAATTCTTTGACTACGCAAAGCACTGGTAGATACTATGTTGATGGGCATGGTTCAAGATTGCCTCGCGTTCGAAAAGCTCCATCCAAGACTGCTAATTCATGTCCATCAATATCTCATCCTACAATAGATGATTTGAACGGGAGATTTGCGTTTCCAGTTGATGATATCAATGACCATTCCTCATATTATAGACAATTACCACACGAAATCTACAACATTATTCAGGATGTATTCGCAAAAACATGCATCGAGAACTCGCCATATTTTACACCATTCCAACACACACGATTCACATCTCTGTACACACTGAGCCGCTTTATAACTCACTATATTGACTCTTTCCATCAAACATTACCGTTTATTCACATGCCATCTTTCAACATTTCGGCTTCTCACTGGCTTTTTTTTCTAGCTATGGCGGCTGTAGGAAGTCGTTACCATGGTAATGGAAATTATGCAAAACCTATGCATGAGTTTCTTCGGCGTGCAATCATGTCAGTCAGCAATAATAGGGATTCGAGGCGTACGAGGATAATGATGATACAAATTAAGCTTCTAAATTGTGTAGGTACGATGTACTGTGGTAGCGATGAATTATCACAGGTAGCGAAATCATATCATAGGGATCTTAACGATTTTTGTTGTAATGAGTGGAAAACTTCGAATCAAAAACCGAGAGTTGCAGTGTCGCAGACAGGTCCAAATGATTCGGAGCACGCCAATAAAGAATGGAGAGGATGGTATGATGCTGAAAGTAAACGAAGGACAGGATGTTGTATTTGGGTATGTGTTTCTATTTCCATATTCATATGATAAATTCTTACGCTGCCTAGCTCCTAGATAGCATGTGGTACTTTCACTTTCAAATTTGTCCTAGCTTATCGCTAGACGATAGTTCGGTATCTTTACCGTGCCAGGAAGTTTGATGGGAAGCAGAATCAGCTATCGAATGCCAACAACTTCTCAGTTGTTCTTCATGTACGTACCTAGTGACCCCCATTAACCAACCCCCGCCAATCTCACGAGTCACCCAGCAGCAAGCTCTACCCTCCACAACGCCCTCCAGTGAATGTACACCGAAAAACGACAGCCATCTTCGACCGGTGAATTCTCCCGTATCCTTCTCATCCACGGTCTTTTCCGACGTACTTGGGAAGTCTCAAATTACCTATCACAACCCCTTACCCACTGGACTCCCACTGCCTCAAAACTATCCTTCCAGCACACCACCTCGAATCATCCCATCTGGCTCCCCGGTATCCAAACATACACAAATTGGCGCAATTCCGCCTGTGATTGTTTAGATATATTACACTGGCATGCAAATAGTTTCATCGGAGCTGCAAGCGGCATGGAACATACCACCATTCTGCATTTACATTTAGCGAGGGTTGTACTTCTCACGCCTTTTCTACATATTTTGGAACTGGCAGAATACCTCGCTTCTTCACACGCTACTCGGATCCCGGATCTGGGAGATACAGATACAGATCAGGAGATTGAGAAAGAGAAAGAAAAAGAGATACTCCAAACACGCGATTATATGAAAAGAGGGGCAACTGAAGATCAGCATAAAGCACGTCTAGCTTCTCTTCTCCCCTTGTTAAAGGGCAAGAAAGTGAAAACTATTGCTTGATACATACCTATCACCTACACATGACCATTCGAACCACCGAGCTTCACCCATGCGTACCCCCAATAACCATCCAGGTATTCTTGTTCCTTTTTTTTTTCTCTTAAAAAATAGTATTCCAGCCGGGAAATAAATCTCAGTATATTCCAGCAATACAGCAAGATAGACCCGTGATAGAAGATCAGTGTATCTAAGTGTAAATATTTAACTTGTGCTATCTATCCTTCGTAGCACCCATATCTCCAACAACAATATAAATAGATATTTAACCCTCGGATGATATGCTCGAAGAACGATAGAATCTCACCCGGCTCTCGATTGATACTCTTCTTTATGAGCTAGGTTAGGATGTATAAGTACTAGTACATCCACGGAATAAAATTATTCTGTAAAAGTATTACGGGATTTGATTTTGTACCCGATAAAATGTGTTAGGCTTCCGAAACCTATTCAGATTCTAGAATATTCATTGAAGTGGAAAATTTGCTCAAATCGAGTCGTTGTATGTGTGGAGAATGTGAAGGTTTTCAGGATGTATATTTCGGTTAGTATACTCAAGACATGTATTGAGTTAATTCTCTTTGGATTTTAGAATTTGGAACCTAAAGTTATCTGAGAGATTGAAATTATCGTGTTAGAATGGAGGGTTAGATTTCTAAATGATCAGAGATGTTAAAGGGATTTATGATGTGGATTATATATATAGAGAGAGAGAGAGAGAGGTACCTACCTACTTAAACAAACAAACAAACAAACAAACAAACAAATATTCAACCCCATCAACTTTTCAATGAATAAGTTACCTGAAAATTCATAATTCGATACAAATCTGCAAATCAAAGACACCTACCTACCTACCTATACAAGCCTTCTTTTCCAAAAAGTAAGATTACCACCAAACCCCTCTTTACAATTTATACAAGAAGAGTATAGATAACATACAGTAGCATCTTTATTATAAGTCCACCAGTCCCAATTATCAACACCGTATCCCATCTGATTCCCACGCGCTAACTAGCTACCTGCGTACTGCACTGGAAAAAAATAATCAATCTCTATATGTATGAACACACAGGCTAGTCATCTCGTTAAGTGTATGCAAGAGCCTAGGTAATAAGGTAGCTTAGAGTCAGTCAGTCATCTACATGTGTAGATTTAGAGTAGTGAAAAATTCCACATAGAAAAAAGTATGTAGGATTTAGAATCTAGAATTCACTATCTACATAGTTTGATCATCTCAATATCATGAAAAACACACAGAGATGCCCGTGAAATGAGATACGAAAGACGAAATAAGAGATACTATATCACAGCTATTCAACTAGCATTACTACTCACAAGCCCCTCCTCCCCTGGTCTATTTTTCCATAGTTTCCCCATGCCAAATCTTCGTTTCCGCGGCTCGGGCTGATATGGCGCTAAGGGGAATGCGACCGCGGTGGGATAGTATCGAGGATTTTGATCATGCTGCGATAAAGTACTAGTACCAGTAGCAGGTAGTAGTCTTGCCATTCTGGAGTCTGGGATTTGGCCGCTAGAGGGGTGGAGGTGGTGAGTTATGGTGGGTTTAGGGAGGTGTAAATGTTTCTTCTTTTTTTCTCGAAACAAAAGAAAAAACAAAAGGAAAAGATAGAAAAAGATAGAACCAAACTTACAGTTTCGTACTATCTGACGCAAACGAGAAACCCGATTTTCTATTTTCCTTTGCGCTTTTGGGTATTTCTTCTTCTCGTTTTTCTTGTAGCGTGATAGATTGCGAAGTCACCAACTTCTTTCCACGTGTTGATTTCGCGAGCGGTGGTTTCCGAGTTTGGGGTTCCGATTTCGATTTCGGGGTATCTGTTTTATTCGTTTTGGGTCTGATCCAACCGTTCTTTGTGGCTGGTCCCAAAGCGGTGGGTTTGGGTGGTATGGGAGGAGGGGGAATGTGATTATGATTTTGATGTTGATGTCTTTTTCGACGATGGCTTCTACTCTCGATTATGGGATCACGGGATATGAGTGAGGAGGAAGATTTTGATATTCGCTTGGAGAGACTATCGAGGGCGTTGATTGTTTCCGCGCGTGATTGATTCGAGAGTTTGATAAAGAGTTCTTGATCGGCAGGCTTGACTTTGCCGCGAGTAAATAATACTACCGCGGAGGTGAAAGCAGTGTTTAGTCGGGATAATATAGTAGATAGTGAAGAGCGGGCTTTCGCTGGGTTGGAATGAGAATGTGGAGTTTGTAAATATGAGGGTTGTGATTCATACCATCGCCTTCGGAGAATTTGGGACCAGATTTGATGGATTCCCTTGTGTATGCCTCGCGAATATCTGATCGGGATTGTTTGAATGACTTGATGAGAAGAGTTTCTTCGCAATTATCATGATCGATTATTTTACTGCTGTTTTTCTGTCTCTTGCGACGAGCTCGGAGAAGTCTTATGCCACTGGTAAAAGTACCGAGTAAAGTAGTCACCAATTCGTCTAGTTCACCCATTGTAAGGTAAGACACAACTTGTGTTGAATAGGTAAATTTGGATATACACGATTGAAATTTATAAATCAGGGGCACATTAGTCAGAGGATGAGAGAAGTATCAATTATGCTAAGTATCTCAGGTGTTGATTGATTGGGGGACAGTCATGTTCTTGCCGCCCATGATTTCTACCCCACTTGTAGGTAGTGGCCTATGAGAGGGATGCAATGAAAGTTTGGTAAAGTTAATATATACATGACCTTGTGTATGGAGAAGCTGTTCGTGTATACATACATGGTTCGAGCTATCATCATTTTTGATTGTGCAAAAGTCCTTGCCAATTTAGCCACTTTTGAAAGTTTGGATGGATGATGAAACTTGTTTAGGGGACATTGGGTAGGTAGTGCGACTCTTCAAGGTTAAAGTAAATATACTGTATTCATCGAAAAGTTGAATGCCGAAACCCACTTGGATCCTTGGAGTTTAATATTGTAAAAGTACACTTGAAGTGTACGAGTAGAGAAGGGGGCAATTTTACCACGTGCGACAACCAACGAGCGGAAGCATAAAACAATATGAAGTCATCCAAATTGAAGATTGCAACGATGAGTTATGTGATCAAGAGAAGATTGAACCCTGAAATTCCCTACGATCTGAATTAAACAAAGGTAAAAGATGAATGCCGAATCACGTGCAGTTAGCAGATGAGATGAAGACCAACTGATCGGATTGTACTGGACACAAGCCGTGCAAACAATAGCCTGACAACGTGGGGGGTACCTTATCAGGATAAACAAATATGTCGCACCTATATATTGCGACAAACATGCCTGCCGATTGAAAGCAGTGTACCAAGAAACTATCTCATCACATACTTCTGTCAAGTTACACTCCAATCAAAAGCCACCCAATGCTTTCTGAATTCTTGATCAGTATGGTGTGCGAGGATAGGTGGAGTTGCTATCTTCTTGCGGGAAATATCGGTGCCATCCAAGACAAAATTCGATATCGGAGAGACGAGAGACTGGCTACGAGCCGCAGACCCCACGTTTCTCATACTGCGTTGCACAATTCGTGATTCGATTTGCAATATTTTGAAGGATCTGATGATAGGTTCATGGTATAAGGGAGCTTGGCGGGATTTCTTCAATGTCCCATTCACATGTGTATATATATTGCAGTCCTTCAGATCGGTCACAATATGATTAAATATCCGGGATTTCGGAGTGCGTCAAGCTCGACCATTTTCGGTCGGTATCAATGCGGTTGCAACACGGCAGGTTTGTCGAGCGAGCTGCCGCGTAATTTCATAAGAGGTTTTCTATGACAATATATGTGGTGTACCTGTAATTTACTCACCAAGGTCTGCTTTGTTGAATAGGTGAGAGGTGAGAGGTGAGAGGAGAGAGGAGAGAACAACGTCTAGAGGCTATCAAAAGTCTCGAGTTGTTTCGAGCCCAATGAAGAAAAGAGTGTTGCGGTTCGTCCCGCTTGGCCGTTTTGCTTGAGTACAATATACCCGGGATCAGAGGAATTCATCTATATGCTTGCAAAATTTAGTACAAGCGTGGGGATTTCTCCAGAATCTAGATCAATCCCACAAATGTCCACTTTTCTGCATAACTATATCTACCTTACGATATGATTGTGTTCTTTTTTTGGACTCTGTTTCTTTTCTACCGGGAACGTTGATTGAATTGAGGGAGGTATGGTAGTATCCCGCATGAGTCTTTTAATTAATCCCAATGGGTGATTTCGTTTCACCCGCGTTGGTCGTACATGTCAAATGGCTAGGGGTGCTTATCTTTAGACCCTGGACACCCTTTACTTTTGTAGGCTTGATCACTGATAACCCCATACCAATTAACATGAAATATGAACCAGAATGTTCCGCACATCATGAAGCACCTTTCACGAATTTCGGACTCTTTGAGTACTACAACAAGGTTGATCAGCTCATGGAACTCAATGCACCCCAATGACATCTTGAAAAGTGTAACGAGCAATTGAGACTGAAATTGAACGGATGAACGTTGACGGAACTGATCAGCCACTCTGAACTAAATTATCATTGCACCAAACTCTCTCAAAACCCTGATGTCGAGTTTCCTCCTGAAAGTCTTCTAGTTTTTATAGCATCAGATGCTACGAGCATGTCCGAGCCCCATTGCGACAAAACTCATACTGATGATTCACATCTTCCCAAGGGTGGTTGCAGATACATTCTGCTACATCCTGAATCAAAGCAGCTGCGATGTGCGTGCGTCGGATTTGCATCCAACCGATCCATTCCAGGCAGTTTGTGTCATTGTGGACACCAGGCAGTATATCACAATTCAGACCCAGAATTTTCTAGTAAAGAAGAATTAGATGCGTTGAAGTTGAGGATTGGTACTCTCGAGGAGGAGCTACATCGAGAACGACGTATAGGGAGAGTTGGCTTGTTTGATCGGCTTACAAAATTAGAAGAGCTTGTGGAAAAAGAGAACTTGGAACGCGAAGTTGAGATAAGAAATATTCACCGTGGCATCGGCGGTCTTTGGCAGAACGTTGGCCTCTTGAACAAGCGAACACCATATCACGATGATCGGATCGAAGGATTAGTGGATGACGTACATAGAATTCATGCTAGGATGATCGAGTTGGACGATGCGTCAATGAAAGTAGAAGATAGAGTAGACGCTCTTGAGAATGTATCAGCGCGAACTTTCGCACCTCCAAAGAGGACTCGACGAAGAAAAGCATCGACGCCTCCTACTGCAAATTTGCAGATCGCAATCGAGAACACGACAAAGTCTGGAGAAGGTGGTGCTATAGGGGATTTTAAAACGCCTACAAATGGTTTTGCATCAGGTCAGGAATTCCCGGAAAGAGATCTTTCGGGTGATCGATGTGGAACTGGTTCATGGACTGTACACGTCTCCCTTATGCCCACATCATCCCAGCCTTTCCCCTTTGAAAAGGACACGGCAGCTTACAAAAGATGCCTATCTCGAGGTTTGCATCAAAAGATAGTTGTGCCCGACACAAATGGTGATTCTTTTAAGGAGGCCGTGTGTTCTGCTTTTGAGCCAGTCCTGCGAGGAAGGCCTTGGCAACCACTTGTGGCCAAGATCTGTGATGTGAAAAATTTAAGAGGCCTTCCGATGCTTCGACAACTAGACGCACAGTTAGTGAGTATGCTCCGGAGCTTTTCTTTTGCTTGTGTCGGCGATACTAACTTCAACCGAGCAGGCCTTCAGTGATTATGATGTTGACTTCTTGAAGAAATATTGCGCTGTCCTTGACGGGTTTGGAAAAATTGAAGATTTATATATTGCTATGACCGAAGATACAATAACTTGGGTCGAAATGCGCGAGCTAGAGCAATTTCTTCCAGGACTGGAATCTGCATGGTCCCATAGTACGTACCTAGATGGAGCACGGGTAGATATAACACTTCAAGCAATGAAGGATGAATCTGGTGAAGCCACAGCCTCCAAACAAAAATCGGCAGACAATTTATTGCTGTCGTTACCAGCCGCTGAGAATTCGCCATCGAGCATAATTCTAAAGAGACATGCGTCAAGGATATCTAGAACGCCAAGTTTCGACTCATCATTTGAAGGAGAAAACCCTAGAACAAAATTGAGGCAACTCTACAATGGAGCAGGGGTGGATATAGGCAGATGTGCTAAAATTGCTTGATGGAAGGTCGACTTTCGTCGGAAGTCTTTGAGACTATTAACCACTTTTTCCATCAAAAGTCTGATTGTTGATATGCTGTTTGCTCGAGATCACAAGTCTATGAAACAGGTTCCTCAAATTAAATATCAACATTATGCAGTGTTGTCGAGAAGTCCCATGAGAATCAAGCATAATTCTCAATGTAGTTTAAGACACTGGAATAGACAAATAACTACACATTGGAGCATGTCTTATGTCTGCAAGACCACAGAATAGAGGATCGACAGATTGTGAGGTTTCGTAAGTATTCTTTGGTGCAGAACAACGGGAAGAAGACGATTAGTTCGCAATTTTAGTAGACCCAGAATACCGATAACTTGGACAAAAAATCGAAGTTTAAGTGTTTGTAGCAATCTCTCGAGTCTCTGAAGATCAAAAACTGAATGAGATAATCGTTCTAGCTATTCCGGGACCTCGATTTAGCAGCCCCCCGGGCCCCTCTTGTAATCATATACCGCGGCGCACTGTGAATGAAAAGACATCAAGGTTAGCATTGAGCTTGGTTGAATAATCACACTTGACTGAGATGCCCGATTCTCCTTTCGTCTCAAAAACGCTCTTGATGTAGAGTTCTTGAACGGACTTACCCGCGTGACTCCTAGACAAATGTACTCTATCTATCCTAGTATCCTTGTTGTACCATTCTGCAAGGCTACCATCATCTCCGGACCCTTCTAGCTGTCAGGAATACGTGTGAAGAAGATTAGATTTGAAAGGACTACCAAAGCGTCGAGTTCGTCAAATTTAGACAATGTGTCCGGTATATGAAATGTAAGAGTTGAGATGAAAGTTCCTTCTAAAGTAAAACTATATTTGAATGTAATGAATGAAGTGATTACCGGTATCAGAAGATTCACATATCAAGGAACCTAGCAGAGGCCCAGAGTAAGTCCAAGGATTGTGGCCTTAGGCATCAACAGACAAGGCTGCAGACAGCCTTACGCTAATTGCACTTCCGAACTAAACTAGCATGACGTTCTTCCACCTGAGGGGCAGACAAACCTCAGCCTAATGGACAACAACATTTCATCCCATCCCTCATAACTAATTCTCCGTTCCATCAAAAGTATCTACAAAAAGTATTCGGAAAGATTTGGGGTTCCGTTGATAATAAGAGAACCACAGATTTTTGCTTGGGTTCTCTTCTTTCCTCAGGAGTGTTCCTCAATTCTCTTTGGTAACCTTACAATTCTTTGAAGAAGATTATCGTCGTATAACGGCACACAGGAGTGCATGACTACAATTGCAATCACCGACAAAATTAAGAGCAATACTCTCTTGCTATTCCTCTTATTCAGAACGAAAAAATCCTCACCGTACCTCGCACTGAAAATTGAAGGACATCAGACTCGCTCTTTCCTGTCTTGCTATAATTGTGCCCCGCACCTTAATTCGCTTGAACTTGTGTATATTCTCACCTACAATGGATATCAATTCTCCAAAGCGTCGCAAACTTAGTCAGAGAACTCCCGACCAGGCGCAGACGGCAAAAGGAAAAGGAAAAGAAGTCATGACGATGACAACAAGTAGGTTCTAGGATTCATCCTCGTAATACAATTCATTAACCAAAGTAGGTCAAAATGGCTGGCCTCCCAATAAAGTCCCGGTGGAGATCTTCAATCTCATCATCATGAACCTACCTCGATCCACCATCCATAACATGCGATTGGTAAATCGTGAGTTTGAAGCAAATGTTTCTGAATACCTCTTCAAATATGTAGTGGTTCCATTTAGACCAGAGATTTATGGCATCACTTCCGAGCCGTCCACTTCTCATAGTTCAATATTGTTACAAGACAAGGGCATGCGTATCTTTCAAGGTATATCGTTGTAATCTTTATTTGGTTAACCTTCAGCGTTACTAACATTACCTAGGTTTCGGTCGGCACATCAGACACTTTGCTATGTGTATATCATTTCACCCTTTTGATTATTGACAAATTGCTAATAACTTGATTAGCCTTCGAAGTCGATATTGCAAAGTTGACTAAACCTCCTGTAAAGCATAACCACGACACAATCACAACTTTCTGGGGTTCTTACAAATGGCCATTCCAGGAATATAATAGATATGCACAATTAGAGGGCCTAGAGCAGAAAGCTGATGAAACTCGAACCATGACAAAGGCATTTCAATTCATTGTAGCAGCAGAAGAACTTGGCCTATCTATTGATGGGGGCTTGGGATGGCTTGCTGGACCAGACATTAACCATAAAGTTGTTCAGCATGGCGAAAAACCCACGGTATTTGGATCAACAAGATTCGAACCAGAAACAGAACCTGAGCCAAAGCAGAATGTGCGATTAAATCAAAACACTCCACCTTTTCGAACAGAGCTTTTGAACGATACACGTTCCTTACTCCAGAGAGTGTTCCAGGAATCAGGATTCGCTAGCGACCAAATCAACCAATCTCTCGACCATGCTCTCTCCGACGCGGGCTCCGCAAATGCACGTACACAAGTTCGACAGGTTGGAGTCCCTAATGCACCCTCCATTCCTTATGCCGATTTCGAAGAGGGTATTGCTCGTATACTCGGAAACCATTTCGGAACTGGCAATCCTGCAGTGGGAGATGAAGAAGAAGAAGAGGATGATGATGATGATGATGATGATGATGATGATGATGAAAGATTGAACACCGAGGATAGAGTTTCAACTGATGGTGAAGACGAGGGTAATGGTCAAAGCGAAGGCAACGTTTTCAACAATGTTCCTGGACGTCCCAGATCTAACGGCGCCCCGGGTCGTAAGCGCAAGTCAACACCAAAGTGCCATTGTTTAAAGCCGAACGAACTCACCGGCGCACAAAAAGAAATGTTACTTGAACTCGAATGGGCACAACGAGCATTTATGCAGACTTTTACTATTGCCGTTATTGACAGTCCTATCACATTTGCCGGTGTTAAAAAACTTACTATCGCACGCTTGCCAAATAGACATTTACCCAATCTCGTACGCGACGATTTCTGGGATAGTATACCAAATTTGCTTGAGCTATCTCTAGGCATAATCCCCGACTGGCGTGAACTTGTCAAACTTCCTACCGGTTGGGTTCAAGATATCAAGTTACGCCCATCCAAGGCTGTCATTGGTGTCTTTCAGCTCCTTTCCAAACAAATATCTCGACGTCAGCAAATCGAGTCTTTACATTTTGAATGGGTCGGCGGTGGAGAGTACGCTCCTGGTCTCTTCTGCCGGAACCAGCATATACTTGCTGCTCCCATAGTTTCAGATTCAATGAGCATGGTTAGTAGAAAAGGAGAGAAGGAGGTTCTTTCACTACCCTATATCAAGAATCTGTCACTGAAGAACTGCTGGTTAAGTCCACATATGTTCACGCGATTTGTCAAAGATCTCAAACAATGCAGCCTTCAATCCTTAACACTTGATTCGGTTTCATTGACCGCCTTCATTCGCCCTGGACAACACCCAATGCCTCGAGCAAATCACCAGCAAAATGCTTTGGCACAAGCCATGGCGGTAGATATGGCGGTAAACATGGGCTTCGCGAATAACCATCATCTTGCTGCACATGCTGCCTTGTTTCCGCCCAACATGGCTGCAGTGCCACCATTTCTAGCAGCAGCACCGCCAGCAACTCAGTTGCCAGCGGTCATGCCCAATTCAAATGTCCAACCAGCATGGCTCAATGAACCTCGCAATGGTTCCTGGGCTCAGGTTATTGACACTTTGTCTCCTGGTAATAGACTGGCAGATTTGCGCAATGCCAACGAATTTGGTGAAGAAACCCAACCCAGAACTCAGAGTAGTTTGAAAAAACTCGTTTTCAAGTCATGTGGATATGCCCGACTTCCTCTTGAATTCAATCAATCGGCAATCCATGAAGGTGGTGGTGAGCATCGGGGATCCGTACCTTCCGGAGTAACAAAGAGAATCAATGACTATGAGAGCATCATGATGAAGCCGGGTGACAGCCTACTTGCTTCAATAACAAACGCGATGAGCGATCTTGAAGTTGAAGTTCTACAAAATGCGTGGAACATGACTCTTGGTTGGGGAAACTTACCTACGCGGCTAGCAACTGAAGCGAATCATGATGGGATCCTGCGCGCAGGCTGTGGTAGATTCAATGGGTCCATTGTAGCTGCAGCTCTAACTTCGACTTCAGCTTCTGAAGTTTGATTTGATGCATCAATGATTGTTCTCATGTTTTACAAGGGCACAAATTGCAATCACCTTGTCATTTTACTAATCCTACTGGTACCGTAATTTCTTTCTTTCTTTAGGGTGTGTTTTTGTGGGATAAGGATGTCTTAGGACGGATTTATTTTATCATACACATTTTTCTTGTATACTACCACCTCTTTTCTTCTTTCTGGGCAGCATGGCGGGGTCTTTATGACATGACACCAAAGCATAACGAATGGGCTCTTGGTGTTGTCTCAAACTTGCATTTCAGGTTGCATATTAGGGTAAACAATTGGTCTCACGACTTATAATCTGGATTGGACGGGAGTTTGATATGGAAAATCATTGGGGAGTTTAGTGAAGGTGTCGGATGAGCCAAGATCACGAAGAATTGTGTTCGACACCATCGATTAGACCAGATGCAGTTTCTGTATCACAGATTTGCTGATATCTATCAATCATTGGAATGCCGACATGGAATATTTCAGGCGCTCTGGGAATTGACATGAGTGATAACGACGAAGATAGTCGGAAAATTCTTTTTACTTCGTAGGAATAGTGTGTCATGTACATGATGAAAATTCATTAGAATGATGTAGTGCGTTGATGTGATGTGATTGCATGCTATGATAATGATGAGTGTAAGGTGTTTGATGGTCTGGATAGCTTCTGATGTTGGAGAGCATTGCAATACTCGGAATGCATTCAATATTCAAATAGTTTGCATTTGATTCAAAGCGATGCTTGTAGATTGCAGTCGAGAAGGCTATTTGAGAACTCCGAGTAAATCTATTCTGATAATTAATTGTATGTCCTGATCTGACCCCGCTTGCCAATCATTTTTCCTTCTCTTACTCTCTCCCTCTCTCCTCCTTTTTGTCTTGATTCCTTGTGTCCCATCGAGCAGGTATAATCGTGGTTGGAAAAAGGGCCCTGGGTTGCGATTATTCGCGATTGGATGGGTGGGATTAGAAGGCTGATGGAATTTAGAAGTTTGGTGATGATGATGGAGAAGAGGGCGTGAAAGAAAGAAGGAAGGAAGGGAGGAAGGAATGTAGATTTGAATTTGGATAGTATTGGATTGGGAGGGTGGGTTATATGGAGTGGGTTAGATGGGTTATAGAATGAGGGTTATAGAATGAGGGTTATAGAATGAGGGTTATAGAATGAGGGTTATAGAATGAGGGTTATAGAATGAGGGTTATAGAATGAGGGTTATAGAATGAGGGTTATAGAATGAGGGTGTGAGAGGTAGTCATGTTTAAGAGGGGTGGGAATGGGAGAGGCTGAGAGGGCTGGATGGCGTAGGGTGGGGACCTGAGGGGGTATGGGAATATGGGAGATGGACGGTGGGAGATTAAAAGGGCGATGGTATGCTCGAGGGCTGAAGAAACAGTGAGATAGATAAGCAGCGAAGAGGAGGGAGCGGCAGGGACTGAATGAGAAAGCTTGCGTAGGTGTTGGGCATCTTGGAGGAAACACTGTGTGAGATGTATCTATGTAGAAGGTAACAGTCATGCGGAAGAGTGACAAGTGATCTAAGTTCCTGTTTATTGAAAGCCCAAGAACATTTGGGCAGTAAACGGCGTTGACTCGTTATGCTGTATTGAGACACTAGGCTATATTTCATGAGGCGTAGAAGGGGTTCAGACTTGGACTTGTATGTGTAAAACCGGGAGCGAGATATTCGGAATGTAAATTGTGTCCTGTAGGTATGAAATTATTGCTGTATTCGATTCTAAAGAAGGAGCTAGCCGTGTATATTGAGGATGTTTGACGGGAACGTTGCTACAAGTAGACAGGGCCTCATTTTGAGTGTGTCGGATTATGGAGGGCTGAGATATAGATTCTGACGGTGCCGAGATTTACTTTATTTAACGCTAAAAGCCAACTGCCGCTCTGTTGATGACTGGATGGGTTGCCAATCGTTTTAGAACGATCTAGGCCCGCGTCTGTCTCGTGAGAGAGAATTGAGACTTGCATTTGATGGACAGCGTCTGATGCAACCTGGAGCTTGAGGGTTATCAATTCCCGTTAAATGGTGCCTGACTTGGCAGTACTCGATAACAAATAGCAAAAATATCACAAGCACCCGTGGCATGAGTCAGATAAATTCGTCAAGAGGCAATTAAATTTTCTGCAAGAAGTTCATTTAATGGTTCATTTATAGTGCAGCAATATGTCACCTGTACAAGCCATCCATTTTTTGAAATACACTTGTATGATGACCTTCATATCAATGCCCAATCGCGCAAACCCCAGCCAACCATAAAAAGAGAACATCTATGCAGCAGTGATAGCTTGACGGATACGAGCACCACGTTGTCTTGAAGACAAGTGTGCGGTCTCACGTCCAACAACAGCCTCGGACTTTTGAACAACTTCCTCTCCTTCGGTCAAGATCAATTCGATGTGGCAGGGATTTGACATGTATGGATTGATCTATTGAATATTAGCTTTGGGTGTATCGTAGGCTTTCGATATAAACTTACACGACCGTGAGCACGGTAAGTTCGGCGGCGTTGCTTTGGTGCTTGGTTGACTTGGATGTGCTTAACAATCAAGTTTCCGGTATCGAGACCCTTGGTATCGGCGTTGGCCTCAGCGTTCTTCAAGAGACCGAGGAGGAACTCGGCGGACTTGACTGGCCATCTAGCACGGGTAACACCGAATTGCTTTCCTATTGAAATATCCCTATCAGCCTTCCATTCTTCTCTAACCCGAATTTCTCGATTCCCTTCTGATGTCAATGCTCGAACGTACCTTGAGCAGCACGTCCAGTTCCTCCGGCGTATCTTCTCATTGGGACAGCCTCCTTGTGTTCTTGAACGTTCTCAAGGAACTTGACGGCGCGCTGGAGCTTCCATCCCTACGCAATATTAGTAATTGTCGAATCGTAAGGGCTTCGAAAACTTGCGTTGATAGCTTGTGCTGTCTCACGGGTATTCTTGAAAGAAACACGGAGGTAAGAACCGCGGGATCTGGCGCTCTTGGCCGATTCTGATCATAAAGTCAGCAATTACCCTTGGGAGGTAAGTTTTTCGGAGGCAAGCAAAGTCGATTGCATTTTCGTACCTATCTCAGTAGCAGCGTATCGTACCTATAAGCAGATATCTTGGTTAGCAATTCATCCAAGTAAAAGTTGTATATCCAAAATATGACAGCACAAGTAAGTCTTCCGTAACCAGCGCAATCCGCCATGTACCCGGTACAAAGGGACCGTGAACTCGACCCAACAGCGTCAAATTTCTTTGCAATAAATTCTTCCCACCACCAGCGACTCTCCAAATCAGTTGAGCCAAAGATCTGGCTCAGCGCTTTAGAATTTCCCTGCAGTCGGCCCCTCCATCACCAAGTCCCCAATTATCCATTCTCCAACATCTAATTGTCGCAATTGGTTCCAAACAATCGTACACCCTCCAGAGTAACAATAGAAAACACATTCAACGTACCATCTTGACGTTTGGTTGCTGCGGTCGTTAGTACGGAAAATTTCGGTATGATCTTGATGCTCTAAATTTTTGGGAGTTCCTTCCGTTTTGGCTCGCTTGATTGTAGTTTGCCCTAAACACATGACCTGACTAAGCCAAATACGGAAAGCGCGCTAAAAACGACTTTTGCACTTTCCTGAAGTGAAGCGAATTGTACGAACTTTTTCGACCTCTTGAACTTTCTGCCTCTCGAAACTCCTCTCGACACCATCGACAATCAAGATACTCATCGCCCACCATGAGTTTAGTTACGCGAGTACCCCTTCGAAAATTCCCATTTTATGAGGTCCCGATCGTGAGGTGCTGCAGAAATTTTGTGACCTTCAGTGAGGTTGCGCTCCAGCTCGATCGCTTTCGGACCCCTAATATCAAAATTGTCTTGAACGTCTAACTGACAGTATATTTACAGTGGGGAGAAGTCCAACTTTCAATACATCCTTCGATTATTGAACACCAATGGTGCGCAAACAAAAATTCTCATTTTCAAGGCCCAGGCCGTGGCCGGCACTTCTGATCACAGATTTTACTTCCTGAACACAAAACTGACTTCCTGAACAGTTGAGGGAAAGCAAAAGGTCATGTTTGCCCTAACAAAAATCAAGGCGAGCATTCCATCATTCCCATCGCCTCGTTATCATTCTAATTCCATTTTAGGGTGTCGGACGTCGTTACTCCAACTTGGTCTGCAAGAAGGCTGATGTCGATCTCAACAAGCGGTATGGAACACATTGGAAACGAGAATAGAAGAGCAAAGGACTGATCAATGATAGCGCTGGTGAACTCACCTCCGAAGAGCTCGAGAGAATCGTTACCATCGTCCAAAACCCAACCCAATACAAGATCCCATCCTGGTTCCTCAACAGACAACGCGATATCGTAGACGGCAAGGACTCCCAAATTCTCGCTAACGGTGTCGACTCCAAGCTCCGTGACGATTTGGAACGCCTTAAGAAGATCCGTGCTCATCGTGGTCTCCGTCACTACTGGGGTCTCCGTGTCCGTGGACAACACTCCAAGACCACTGGTCGCAGAGGTAGAACCGTCGGTGTTTCCAAGAAGAAGGGAAACTAAATATTTGCGCTTCTGGGATTTACGGTTGGGTGGAGTGTGGCTTTTGCGATGGACTGGTACTTTACATCTGGCTTAACAGCTTCTACAGCATGATGCTGTTACTGGGCATGCCCCAGGAAAATCAGTTCATGAAAAGGAAACAATAAATCATCAATGGCCTCACTACAATCTTATGTGCTTTCAGAACAATGTGCCAAGATTGATTTCCAGGTATGCCTACGAATTATGAGATCTGTTTTTACAAAGAATCTGGACTGCAAACGCCCCAAAATTGTGATTGAAATTGTTATCTATGCATATATTATAGAGTACAGGCGATTATACTTTCTATGCTACCCCTTCGTCTATTATAGTTTTCTTTAAAGAGAAGGAAGTAGGTTGCTTTTTAATGGCCCTTGAATTCTAGATTTGGAAGGAGCAGGTGGCAATTACTGAAGGCTTAATCGGCATCACGTTTTGTTCTCAACGAACTTCAAGCATGGAATGTTTAAATCGGACCTTTAAGCTGCATAGGATCATTCTCCTATAGCTGAACTATATCAAAATGCTGTGATTATATCTGCTCATATGTACGATATAACTTTTTTTAATTCTTAAAATGACGAGTCAATCAAGCTACCGGTACAGGATATATAACCACAAGTAAAATGTCAACTACTTTTGCTAACCCCAACGCCATTCTAGACCCGCTAAACGATACCAAACCCAAGTTACAACAGAAGACTTGGACTCTCAATCTTCATGAGTAACAGCCATATCCAACACCTCGACTCTTCCCTGTCCTTTCGTCTCCGTACTGATAAAATCTCCTAATCCCTTAAATGCACCAGGTTCTACAAACCCTACTACCTCCCACTCTGATCCCATCACATCCTGAGTCTCGACCTGCTCCACATATCCTAATACTCTATCCTTGACCGTCTCCTTCTTATCGCCCTCTCCCTCATCAGCAGATTTCGGTCCAGGAACCTTAACAACCTGCTTCAAAATCTTGGTAGGTAATGTAACTCTCAACCTCATCCTCGCTCTCGCGACTGGAATCGGCTGGTGAGCAATCAAGGCCTTCATCGCTTCCAACGCCTGACTCTTCGCGCTCTTTGTAGCCACGACACCCGTCCAAGCATGCTCTCTCGCCCTAGGTATTGGCTTCGCCTCTCCTTCTTCTCCTGTCGTCGGAGTTGCAGTTTCGCTGCCCAGATTCTTATCTTTTTCCTGTGCTTGCGAACCCTGCGAACTGAGCATCTCGAGTGCTTTCTCTATCATTCCCGTAGTGTACACGCGCTTCGACTTTGGATCCACAAGTTTACTGGCTACGATACTGATCACTTCATTGTGCACTCGCTCCAACTGTGCATGGCGTTCTTTCTCTCCAACTTGTAGTTCTCCCTTGTTTAATATCTCGAGAATGATATCTTGGACTGGAGTATCCTTTCCAAAAGCCTTTGCTAAATCGGCCGTCGGTGCCGTTTGTCCTCGCGAAACATTTAGGAAAACGTTAGGGATTTGAAGGACATTGTCGATATCTTTTTCGTTGCCGGAACGCCATTCGAGTACTTTGTTCTTGTAGCAGGCGATTTCGAAACGCTTTTTTGCCTTCTTGTATCGTACAAGGGATACGTTTGTGAGTTTAATCTGGTTAGAGGGTTGATTGATGGGCATCTTGACGGTTCGCAAGGTGGTGTTGATGGAAAAAAGGAATTTGGAATATCTCTTTTTCTTAATGGTCTGTGAGATTTTTCTTTTTTGCGCGCGGGTTTACCCTTACATCACCCCGCGCGGAAGGGCTGAGTCACTAATAAAGGCACGGCATATTTGATATCAACTTCGCCGTCATTTCCAAGCATCCCGAGGTGGTCTTGACTCTTGAGCTTATCATCTACACTTATCTTAGTGGGGATCAGGATGGAAGAATGAATCCAATGTTGTATGTGGACTTGTAGTAACCTGTAGATAGAGAGATCCCTCAATAGGTATGATCATTTCGTAAGATATCTTCATCATGAGTCACTTCATTGATGAGAAGAAGCAACGATTCTATCCAAGTCTCCTTTACCGTACAGCCATCATAGCTAGTAGTACCCACCTAGGTATTCATGTCTGAATCATGCTTTTATCGGTGAATGAAAGTCTGAGACCAGAGTCATGTGTCCATCGCGGGTACCTTGACAGATTGATAACCATGCAGTGGCGTCAGGGGAATCTTAGCCCCAGACTCTGTTGTGATACGCTGGGTTTCTCTTTAAACTGCTGGAGAGATATATCAAACTTCTACATTGAGATTTTCGAGATAATTCGAGGTAATGTGATATAACAATCAATATGATAGCTAAAGGTGTAAAATCATAAAATGGATGATTTGATAGATATCCAATCAATGATATTAACCCAAGTAATGATCTTGTGATGGTGAAGCATTCTTCCACCATAGATTTGTTTTTGGATGCGGGAATTCCCATGGCTGGACTGATAAGCATCCATCCAACCTCCAACTCCCAAGGGTGCCTTGCTACCTAGGTCATTGAGGCACGAGCACAACACGTACCAGGCACGAGCACGAGCACATCAGCAACTTGGGTAGCTCTTGGTTACCCTAACAACTTGCTCAGCAGTTACCGCCTTGAAACCCTATTCCTATTCAAAGATCCCGTCTATCCCTTCATCCTTCTTGCTTCTTTCTTCTTTCCCTCTTCCATCTCTTTATCCTTTTATCATAACACCCATCTCTTTTGGAAATCATCATATAAAATAGAATAAAACTACAACAATACAGCCTCTATCTTTCATTGCACTTCATCATGAAGCTTCTCGCATCAACCGTCCTTATGGGCGCTGCTGCGGCATCCATACCTCAACAGCAGATTCTCCAGAACCCATTCGAATCAGCAACAAAGCCGGTCTCTGATGCTTGGTCTAAATCAATGGAATCTTTGGGTCAACTCACTGGTTCCATGAAAGGCATGACTGCCGAAGCCAAAGCTATCTGGGATGAAGTTTCGATGCTTTTCCCGGAGGCGATGGAAAAAGCTACCTTCTTCTCTCAACCAAAACCTCACACAAGAAAACCAGATTCTACTTGGGATTACATTGTTAAGGGCGCAGATATTCAAAGTGTCTGGGTTGAGAACGCGAAGGGAGAGAAGGAGCGTGAAATTGATGGAAAGCTTGAGCAATACAACATGAGAGCTAAGAAGGTTGATCCTAGTAAGCTCGGCGTTGATACTGTTAAACAATACAGTGGTTATTTGGATGACGAGGAGAATGATAAGCATCTTTTCTATTGTGAGTATTACTTTTCTTTCGATGCCTTGACAATGGAGCACGTTTCGTGATCACAACGACACCAATCCCTTCCAATATGATTTTCTACTACGAACGAATATGCTAACAAGATTCAGGGTTCTTTGAATCTAGAAACGACCCTAAGAATGATCCAGTCGTTCTTTGGTTGAACGGAGGGCCAGGATGCTCTTCTTTGACCGGTCTCTTCCTCGAGCTTGGTCCTTCCTCAATTGACAAGAACCTCAAATTACACAACAACCCATACTCATGGAACGCCAATGCTTCCGTCATCTTCCTTGACCAACCGGTCAACGTTGGATACTCATACAGTGGTTCATCTGTTAGCAACACAATTGCTGCAGGCAAGGATGTTTATGCTCTTCTCACCTTGTTCTTCAAACAATTCCCTGAATACGCCAAACAAGATTTTCACATTGCTGGTGAATCTTATGCCGGCCATTACATTCCAGTTTTCACCAGTGAGATCTTATCCCACAAGAACCGCAACATCAACCTCAAGTCCGTTCTTATCGGCAACGGTTTGACCGATGGACTTACACAATATGAACACTACAGACCAATGGCTTGTGGAGAGGGTGGATGGCCAGCCGTTC